GCTTTCGAATGCTACCAAGTTAACCCTCATACCGCGGGCCACTCTGCAGTTGGTGGAACCGTTAGTCATCCCCCTTCGCCCGAAGTATTAAACGTGATCACAGCTGACTCTTTTTTTCAGATGCTCGATGTCGTTGGCAGCCCTGGCGAGCCGCTCTTCTTCCTGCACCACACCAACCTGGACCGTCTCTGGTGGGAGTGGCAGCAGGTCAACAGCTCCCGCTTGACGGACATGGGAGGCCGTAACATCCCTCTCACCAGCTATCTTACCCAGAACGGCATGGAGTACCCCAGTGCTGCTCTGACGGACTACTTTGGCGATGGTGGCAATGAAACCACCCTGAACCACAACCTGTGGATGGTCGATATCATGCCCAACGCAACTATCAGAGAGGTTATGGATATTGGAGGTGACCTCATCTGCGCCGAGTACGTTTAAACTTGTAAAAGTATTACTTGTCTACGCTTGGAATGGATGGCCATGGAAAGGATTGCATGGAGTTTTCACCTGTACAAAATAGAGCATAGTAACATAAGCGTTTTCATCTTTTTCTAAGACCGTTCAAAATGGAAGACGTGACGTCTCTAGCTATTAGCATTATCTATAGTCGTAAAGAGCGTATAAGTGAGTACACCAAACCTGGCGATCAGATATCTCCCCCATACCAAAGTCCGTCACAACTTCATCGCTCAGAATGCACCTCAGATGCGAACTCAGATATCATCGTACTTGGATAGCCTCAGAAGTCCACCGTCACCGTCGTCCAGCTGCACCCTCACAGACTTAGCCTCTTTTTGCTGCTCCTTCAAGCCACCAAGGTCCTCCAGTCTCTCCCTGGCATTTCCATCTAGACCGTGAACCAAGGTTGCGAGCACACTGCTCTTCCATAGACTAGCCTTTTGGCGGTATGTCTGATAGATTGCGGCGACCAAGAAAAGAGTAGTTAACAAGACAGTGAGGAGCGGAACAGCCAGGAAACTCCACTCAACATGAACGTAGCTCTCAACTGTGTGCGCTATGCCAGTAACATTGGTACCATTGAAACTTCTGAAACTGACGGTGACACTGGTTGCGAGATCGTTCATGAGCATGTCAATCCCTGTTGGGTACTCGTAGTAGTTCCAGTAAAAGGCCTGGACAATGTCGGTATCAAAGAATGTCTCGCCGCTGGAGATACCGACGGTTAGATTGACAATAACATTGTCTGGAGTCGTAATGGTCTTGTTGATGACCTCTTCATTACGCGAGGCCGACCCATTCCGGAACAGGTCCGAGAACCACGACCGTACGCCCATCATGACTTTCATGTCAATCGGATAGGACTCATTGCCCCTCTGGCCCGAGATATAGATGGGCTCAAGGGTGTCTTGAGTTGCCGTAGCGACGGAATCGTTGGTGCTGGTATGGATAATGGTCTCTTTCAGCTCGCCGTTGACAATTTCGGAGTCCAGAGTTTGAACACAGGCTTGAAGGGTGCACTGCCGAGCCCAGGGTGCAAGGGCACCAGCGACGCCCCCTTGTTTCTCAGTGCCCATGAATACAAGCTTCATGATGGTCGAGTAAGACATATCTCCGAGGCCTTGAGGAAAGATTGGTGTCATGCTGAACACGTCGGCATGTGTCTTGAGTCGAGCACCTACTGGGACTGACCAGCCGCACTCTGTCATGTCGCCTTCAGGAATCGATCCGCCCTCACATGATCGCGTCATGAACTCAGACATGTCAACACAGGTATTGCAGACACCGAGAGTCTCAAAAGGCTCCCAAGTGCAATTACCCGTCTGGCAGTTGACAGGGAGGCTCAGCCACGGCTTACCGTTCTCAGCAAAGAGACCATTGTACACAGCAGCCTTGAAAGGAAGAATCGGAATGAATCCTTCAGATGCAGTCTGACTGCTCAGAGCGATCAAGTATTCCTCGGCTCGGAGATTGATGGCTCCTTCTGTGGAGTTGGTCGTGCGTGCGTGAAACGTAGCAATTTGTTGGGCGAAGGGGCTGAATGCTAGGGTCAAGATGGCAACAAACGCGCCAAAAGAACCAAGAAGGCTATACGGGACGTCAGGTCAGCTCTATGTGTTTAGGAGGGCCGAAGCCATTGACGACCATGTCCTACTTACCCTCCCCTAAGCTTAATGAGCATCATGAGAGCTCCCCAGGTTCCTCGACTGGCATCATCGAACACCTCCATATCCGACAATGGTTCACGGCGCATCTTGAAATGGATCCATTTCAACTGAGAAATGCCACTAGAAAGGACAAGGGCCATAGTCGCAGTTGCAATGGTAGCCAACAAGGCGATAACGGCGTTGATGGTGATTTGAAAGTGCCATGATGCTAGCGGCTTCCCGTCGTATGCTGCGAGAACACCAATGATGGCGGCTGAGGCAAGGATGGTTACACAAAGACTGACAATCTCAAATGTCCAAGAGCCAGATGGCGAGAACGTTTCGGACTTGATGTGTGATTTCTCGGAGATCCTGCTCCAGCGTGAGGGAACAGAGCGTCTAGATTCTCCGTTGCTGCTCAAGGCAGGCTCGCTGGGAGGGACATCATCGACGGAAACAAACGTTGACTGGTACGCCTTGTACGATCCCAGGCTTTGTCTCTTGTCGGATCCAGGGATGAAGGGGCTCGTCGGTTGCTCGACATAAATCGTGTCAGCCGAGCTTGTGCTTACATTGTGCGAGTGTTGTCTGTGCGACATGTTTGCCGTTTGCAGGGTCCCGATCGAGGTCGCAGCTGTCAGAAAGGTTCAGTGCATGAGACAAAGGAACATGGAAACAAAAGCAAACATACGGAAAGTTGCATGGTGGCTTGGGACCGGGGAGCCTCAAGTACTTGGAAACACGCTGAGAAAGCTTGACAGATTCTTGAAGCCTGGGCATTGCAGGGTGACTGCTACATGAGTTGGAAGCCTGCAGTGCTTACATGCACATGTGTGGTCCAACTGCGATGCCGCATATCACATACAATACATGGGAACTTTGGGAAGAGTGGGACGAATGCCGTTGTATTTTTCAAGGTTTTTGAATGCTAACGTGAGCCGACATGCTCCATCATTGGCTGAGATCGATGGTGGAGGGTGCGAGATACCGAACAAGGAAGCGATCTGGGCCTTTGGGGGCTGAACCAACTCGTCCAACCCTTGCACGGAGATGTTGGTGGTTGGGGAAATGTCTCTCTCGAGGAGCAGTATGTTGTCACTTTAGTCCCTCGCCCGCATCAAGGCTGACCACCCGAAGCCTCTCCCGGAGGGCCAGATCCGTCCCGGACTGCGCCCTTTGCAGATCTATGGCTTATTTTTGGTTGTTGTGCTGTACCGCGAGGGGTAGCAATGTGGATGGGAACCAAACTGTGCCGCCTGCACGATGGGGCCAGTCCAAGGCAGACGTGAACGCACAGCAAGCTTTGATAAGGTGCTGTTGGTGCAGCCTGCATGCGCTGTCGCTACTCAGCCCCCCATCCTCGCAGAGTGAAGAATTGAAGTGTTCATAGGGCTGCTAATCGGGCAGGTCGTAATGCCCGTCGCTTTCAGCTGCCGCTCTTCGTAACATCATTGGCGCGTCTCTCTGTGAATTGTATTTGCGACTGAGGTCGTCTACCGCGCTTATGCTAAAATCGCAATCGCTGCGACTACACCGGCAATGAGAGCAAAATGAGACGAGGGCAAGTTCGAGTTGAGCGATGCGGCTCCGGAAGATCCTGTTGCGCGAGCATATCCCAGCTCGCTGTAAACGCTAGTAGCTTGATCGTTGCTGACGGTAGCCGAGCAGGGTTGCGAATCGTGAGTGACGGAAGCGGTGACGGCACAGACGCTGGTGGCCTCGGAGTTGTATGTCGTCGTGGAAACGTAGCTCATGCTGCCAATAGCGCTCGGGCAAGTGGTGAAAGACGGCTCCTTACCGCTGGTCTCGACGGTGAAGTCAAAGCTACCGTTGGCGATGCGCGGGTTCAGGTTGAACTCGCTGTAGTCGGGTTGCTCGGTGAACTCGCATTGGGCGCCCATGCCAAAGACCCAGGCGAATGTATAGTCGCCTGCAGCGAGGTGACCGGTCTTGCCAACTTCGAGGTGCGGGCCGTTGCCAAAGGTGCTGTCGTTTCCAATGGAAGCGCCCAAGATGCCGTGGGCGGCGGTACGCATGTACGAGTTCTTGTTTCTCGAGTAGATATCCCAGACGAAGTTGTAGCCGTACTTGTACGCGACATCGGGGTTCTGGACGTTGAGGAGGACGGGGTAGCCGTTGGTGGTCTCGGCATACTTGCCATCGCCACGAGGGAAGACAAGATCGAGCTCAATGGCATCGGCGGGCAACTCGGCTCTGGCAAGCTGGGAGCACGAGGCCAGAAGAGTGGCACCAAGCCACAAGAGGCGCTGAGAGAACATGGTTGCTAGTAAATGAGTGTGGTTGTAAATGAGTGTAACGTTGAAGTATTCGCGATCGACGGATCAACAACTGTCAACTGAGGCTGTACCAGACGTTTTTGCCCCCAAAAAGAATGCTGATCTGGAGAAGACCGTGGAGAGCGGAGATTTTAAAAGAAAATTGTGGACGCGCCCTGGAAGACTGAATGATAACAATGTCAACATTGTCACGGACTCGAGCAAAGAACTCTGACAAGCAAGAGTCCCAGTCAGGATCACTCTAATCTCCGATTATGATCCCGGCCCACTGCGTTATTTTGCTTTATCCTAAACGTCGCTAATCATCGTCTCTGCATTAGTCCCATGTCATTTCGGCCGGGTTTCGACAGTGAGCCAACCGAAATGCGTAAAGGCGACTCTAAGGGGACCAGGCCACCCAATGGCTGCACGGAGCATCATGTGCTCATTAACGGTTTGTGTGCCTCATTTAAGCTTCTTAACGGTAGCCCTATGGCTTCCAGGTTTTTCGCGAACGGTTCACACCCTTTACAAAGTAAGGATAACGTGGTCTGTCTTTCATTGCTGTAGCCTATGGTATCCGTAGAGATTACATCCTAGGTATCCACCTCTCGCCCCTTCATGCTTCGTCCTGAAGTTTCTTCTCCTCTCGGCCCCCAGAGCTGACCTCACAAACATAAGAGTTGAACTTGCGAGCCGGCACGCGATTGCTAAACATTTCTTGAATCTCGGCGTAGTTACGACCCTTCATCTCGGGGAAGTAGAGATAAAGCCATGCGCACATGGGCAACGACAGGCCGAAGAAGATGAAGCAAATCTTACCGCCCAAGTTGGCCTGGTCTGTATTCAGCAGGTAGGGCATCACCTGCAATACTAAGCAGGACGCCGCGGTCGAGCACATGATGTTGATGCTGTAAGTTTTTTGTCGCAATTGCACACTGTTCGTCATTTCGTCAGCAAGGCATGCCCCTGTTCTTCTTATCCCCTGAGTCAGGGTTGAAGGCCCACAAGCCGGTGTTCCTGAGCAACACCACGTGCTAATACCTACCAAGACCACTTGGGCTGGACTGATTGCTTGCAGAATCCAAAGTCCAAGAGCATAACTTGGGATTTTATCGTAAACATACCTGGCAGTTTCTCCTCCGACAGAGTACGCAACCGCACCCAAAGTTGCTTGATACAAGTATCCCCAAATGACCATGCAAGCGACCGTTGCCGTGAGTGAGGCTTGGTTGCCGATGGTGCTGATACCGCCAATGAGAAGCAAAAGTGCTGTCATGGTGAATACGCCGCCAACGATCAACGGGCGTCTTCCATATCGATCCACAAGTGGCCAAGAAGTCATGTTGCCGACAAACTGAATTGCGTAGGCTGCCTGGCCGATTGCAAGCGGATTGTTAATTCCAGCCAATCGGAAATAGTATCTGCGAGTTGTCAGTGACCGTCGACATGGAATTGTAGAGAAAAGAGGCTGCCTTACGTGAGGTAGCCCGAAACAAAGTTCACACCAATGGCTTGCTGAGAGAGATAGACCATGACAATAATTGCTGTGCGCCTGCCGTTGACTCCCTTAAAACAGTCAACCCAGCGAGCTGACTCCTGTTCCTTTTTGGATTCTTGCTCTTTGGCAATGGCAACAGTGGCGACCGCCAACGCGGCATCCACGTCGAAGTTGGGTCCGTTGAACCTTTTGTATGATTTGGCGGCTTCTTCACGACGACCCTTGATGAGAAGCCAGCTAGGGGACTCGGGCAAGAATACCAAACCGCAAAGGAGCAGTCCAGGAGGAATGAGTTGCGTAATCAACGGGATTCGCCAAGAAAGGTCATTGTGATAGTGATCGCTTGCCAGTACCGTCGCCGAGTTGAGCCACTGGCCAACAGTGATCATTGTGTTGACAAGAACCAGGCAAACACCACGCATCTTCACTGGTGCGAGCTCGGCAACAAAGACGGGCCCCAGCGAGTGGCCCAGACCGAATCCAAAAGTTGCAACGACCTTGCCGCCGAAAAGCATCATGATGGTTGAAGCAAAGTATTGAAGGATCGTGCCACCGCAGCAAATCAAGCAAGCGAGGCCAATGGTCTTTTTCCGGCCAAAGATATCGCTAATGAAGCCTGTTGCAAATGCCGAAACGAAGATTCCGATCGTGCCCGCAGCATTGAGGATCTGTTGGTCCCTAGCGGCGACCTGCCATTTTCCGTTGATCTCGTGGCCGAAACGTTGAGCGAAAGGGGTTACGGCGAGGAGCTTTCCGATGGTCGAGACTTCGTAACCAAAGTTGATGGGCAAAAGGTAGATCATCAAGCCTATTACCGGCACACACATTATTAGCGAAACATTCTATATAGGGATCAGCAGGTATAGATGAACTGACAGAAGGCCAAAACGCGCTTGTTCTCCCACAGATCGCGGAAAGTAAGCTTCTCGTTGGCTTGCGTTGTTGGCAGCGCAGCTGTTGCGGCCACCTTCGCATCTTCAAGCTGGTCCGCTCTCTGCTTGTCATCATGCTGGACCGTCGGCTCGTTCTTGGCGTCCATTGTGGTTGACAGTCCGAGGTTGCGCAGGGCTGGGTTGGCTTCGGAACGCGTGATGATGTCCCCCTGCGAGCTTGAGGTTGCTTCGAGTCGTACTCATCTCGGAGGGTGTTGGGACCTTCACGCGTCTTATACTCCAAGCATGCTGAATTGAAAAAGCACACAAAGGCTGCAATGCAGGCTTCCCCATGGGCACTCGCCGAGGGTACTTGAGAGCTCCCCAGTTCTCCGCACTTTCCACGTGGATGCAACATCTCTTGGTAGCCTGAAGATGCTAAAGACTGCCTCCTTTGGCAAGACCGAGACGCGGAGGGCATGACTCGGAAGACTTATTGACCGGGGGTGGGACTACACTTCCGGGGTAGCGCTGGAGACTGGAGTGCATTTTGCGGAGGTCACACTGGAGACCGAGACTAAGAGTCTGAGAGATCGAGTGACCGCAGGTATTTCGAGAGGCCCAGATTGGCTACCAAGCCTGATCAGTGGGCCACTGGGCATTCTATGATCTGGCGCTCTTCACAATCATTGTCTTTAACGACCAACGTCTACTTTCGACCCTAGATCATGTCACTTCCTGCCTTGACTTGGTTCGTCAGCTGTTCTCAACGGGTTGTTTGAATGCAAGACGCCAGAATAAGTAATGTTTGCCCTCTTGATCTTGTCTTCCCAGACAAAGAGGTAGCCCTTTCTGGCAATAGTTTCCCTCCCGAGTTCCGGCTTCCGTCTCCGACCTCCACATCTACCCCGGATTCCTCTGTGTGTCTCGGATCCGCGTCGATAAACTCAATGGAGCAGTCAAGCTGGAAAGTAAAAGTCAGACTTCGCAATACCTATATTAATGTTAGTAGTGTCTTCCATCGATGTCGAACGACTATATACATTCAGGCACTTAATTCGACCTCACCCCGGAGACGCGACCTCTAGTTTCTCAGCTTACGCTACTATCATCGGCTTCGTATGAATGCATCTAGTTATATGGCGGAGTTTGACTTTGCAAAGGATGTCTCATGTTTCAATGGCATTGGAATTATATTGCGCGCTGCTATGTAAGTATGCGTGGTCGATTCTCATTACATTCAGCCCAGGTGGGCCAGAAGGCGACCCCTGTCTGGATGCAATGAAACCAGTCCAGGCCTCCACACGCTCTGATGTTGTACAATGACCTATCTCAGAAGACGACACCCTTGGTTTGTGATTTCTCTCTCAGCTTGTGGTTTTTCATCAAGTAAACCCAGAGGATAGGGCCCGCCAATCCTACCAACAACGTAACAATCATGATCTTCTGCGTTTCGCCGTAGGCAAGTACGATTGCATATCTCGCGGGGGTTCCCCATTCATATGATATCTGCTTCGTCAGATCCCCGTAAATATGGAGGGCTTCGCTTTTGAGCTCGTCCGGAAGGTAGTTCTCTAACTTGGAGGGCATCAAAATGGTCCAGATGGCTCCACTGATTGACGAGCCAATGGCGCCATCGACAATAGTAGCCATGGAAAGAAGTACAAGGCCGATGGCAACATGCCGACGTGGAACAAAGTCCATGATAGCGATCGGCTCTACCATGACAATGGTGCCTCCTGCTAAAGCAATAAGGATTTCGCACATGATGACGAGGCCGATACCAGTGTCTGGTATACGGAATGTTATCATGAGAACAGTCGAACGCAGTTGAAAAGGTAGGTACTGCTACCAGGCCGAGCCACTTTGAACGATTGGTGAAACGCATAGGGCTAGAATATGGTAAGTCAGTTGTCCTACATAATTGTTGACGGAGTGTCAGATACTTACAGCCCAACAGGAATGCCTCATGCGCAAGAAACGAGGTTATAGATGTTGCCGACTCGAGAAACGCCGATGTTGTCAACGACTTGCAGATGCAACAAAAACTGAACCTTGTAGCAGCTAGACATATGCTAGCTCAAGTAATTTACACATAGAATTGGCGGACTGAAAATGTATGACTTACTAGAAGCTGATCCATATGTTTCCTCCCAGAAAGCAGGCGACTGAGACGGTCCTGTTCTTGAAGAGCTCAAAAGGTACAAATCATTTGAGCGCAATGTGCTTTTCGTACAAGGAGAAAGCGACCAAAACGATACCATCCAGGACGATCATGGCAATAATTGTTGGCTCGCGCCGCTGGTGAGCCTGGTATCTTGCCATGCTGAAAGGTAGCTACATCAGTGAGAAACAAGCGACGACGAGCAGCATGCCTGCAACATCAAGCTCAATGATCCAATACTTGGCGGAGACCGAAAAGGTTCGGTTCTCCCTTTTCTTAGTATAAAGACCCTGCTTGACGGCTCGTTGCATTTGCACAGTAGAATATTGATCAAGGGGCCGACAACGGCCGGAATGATTATCGTGAAAGCGCCGTACCCCCATCTCCAAGGGCTAGAATTGAGAAATGACTGGGCGGCGACAGGTCCAGCGAAGGTGTTCGAAATGTAAGGCGTCGAGGTGAAACCGAATAGGATCATGCGATTCTTCAGTGCGGATGTATCCGCCATGAAGACATTGAGCACGTAGCCAATACCTTTCATAGCAGTCCAGAAGAAGGTTTGCGCAGCGGCATAGGTCCTGACGTTCTGACAGGCAGCCATCGGAATAAGAGCTACATGCAACTATTAGGCACGAAATTCGAAACAAGGCTCGCTGAAAAATGACCAGATCCCGCAATTATGGTGTATGTGGCATGTATATGGCGGTACTGCTACTTCTGAGTGCTACTACATGCAATGCAGAGCTCACCTCCTTCCTCGTCAAAGTAGGTTCATTTTCAGCCAGGAAAATATAGCCACATAGCCGTAAAAGCTATTCAACTGAAAAAAAGCTTCGAAATTCACGCTAAGTCTCCCGTTGACACAAATCGTTGATGCCATACCCCGACTGACTTCCTGACAGTCCAAATATATCCCTGAATATTTGAGAATGCTGTGTTGTCTGGGACACTTCCTTGGGCTTCATTAGACCTAGCTGAGCCGCGAAATGTCTCTGAGGACAGTGGAAGCGTGCGGCCACATCCGTCATGAGTTCCTCCCGCATAAATGGCCTCGATTTGCAACGGAGTCTCTTTAGCTATTCTCTGAGCAATTTCTTTGGAAATGGGGTGAGCGAGCCTGATAGTATGAACTGAAGGGATTTGCTCTTGGATGTCTCTAACGAACCTCAGAAGAGTAGACTGAAACTGGTGACAAGTGGGATCCTGGCTATGCTTGTTGGGGCAGATCGTAATTCTCTCTACTAGACTGGCCGATGTAGCTAGTTCTGACGCTACTATTCGGCCTGGTACGGTGCCTTTATAGAAGTTCAGATAGAGTTGCTTGATGTGTCTGAGTTGAGGGAGGTCTGACAATCTGAACTGCGCTTCAGTGAATGTAGAGTTGAGAGAGCCAAACATAGATTGGTTCCCACACCATCCGTTCTGTCCAAGCCAGAATCTGAAATGGTTTCGGCTGTAGAACAACTCGAGGATCTCGGCTTGAATTTGGAGACAGACTTCGAAAAGAGGAGATGGCGGGTATGCTGCAGCCCATGGTAGACTGCCAACTGGCTCGCAAATATCTAGCTCACACCTCAAAGGCACAAGATTGGATAACTCATAGATGCGACCGCGTATCTCACGTGGTAGTTGGAGAAAGGCACTTCGCCTGAGATTCTGCGTATCTGCGGTCATTTTTGTTGTTGGTCCTTTCGATCTTCGGGCTATACCACGGACTGGCTTTGGCTTTGAGAATGTTGAAACGAGGTGGTGCTTCATTCTTTCCCGTACTGACGAGTCGAAGAGTTCGGCTGATGGGACCTGAGAAGATAGTGATTAAGGCAGGATCTTTACTTGGACCTCGGCTATATGTATCTATATGTCCCGAAAAAACACAGTCCATGTCTCCATGTTAACTGACAATGGGCATGATGCCATCGATTCGATGCCTGGAACAATAGCTTGAAGAACCATAATCTTTCACAGAATAAGCAAGGTCAAAGACCTTGAATCCAAATTAGTTACTATGAGTGGAGTCATGCTTGCACTCCAACTGCTTTGCTGTTGTATGGATGAATGGGATTTCCAACAGCATCGCATTAACATTGACGCATGTGAGGTTGCAAACAGAGAACAAAGAGGGGCATCCCAAAACTACTATTTGTCTGCTTTCACAAGAATCTATTTAATACAATTGATCACATGTTGCAAAGAAAGGGTTTATACAGCTGTCTTACAAAGGGTAAAAGGGCATATTTACTGAGGTACGTTGTGTTCTTGTATTTATCACTACCTTACGTCTTCGTGCGTAGTAGCTAGATGACTGATCCAAGACGTTGACGAGTTATACCTCATGGTAAGTTACAGCTTGACTTGTTGCCCAACATTCAGTAGTGTCCGGCGTTCCCTTCAACTTTTTATCTCGTGGACTGCCTCTGACTGAGCGACTGTCTCTGCATCAGTCTTCTTTCCATCATTGCCGAAATGTCTGACAACCAGCCAAGCGGGGTAAATGGAGATAAACCATAGCCCAAAGTTGATGTACGGCCCGCCGACTAAGGCGAAAATTGGGATTGCGTTGAGTCCGTAACTAACAGCTTGCCAGGCCGACTCTGTTCCTCGAAGAAGTGCTGACAGGCGAATCGTCTCCTGGGGGGTTTCGGAAATCTGTCCAATTATGAAGAAAGCAAAGTTGTAGTTCAATTGGAAGCCAGCGACCAAAAAGATGAAGACACCGAAGCCTCTGCCGAATCCTGGGTCACTCCAGTCGAGTGTAGGCTGAGTTCGACGGTACTCGGTGACATTGATGGTCAGCCATAACCACCAGGCGCCCTGGAGAGTCATAATGACTGCAAAGGCCCAGCGAGCTCTCTTTTTCAGAGCGATTTGGTTCTGATCGAGCCACAGTCCGAGAAGGTTACCAGCGATAACTGCGACGATACCGGAGAGAAGTGATCCGAGGGCACGAGCTCTGACAGAGAACCACAGAGCAATGTATGTGAAGAAGATCGATTCAGAGTACACGCCCTGGCCAATCCACAAAACGAGAAGGAGGAATTTGGGGGTGAGGAACGTCTTTGTCGTAGCCTTGATCTCTTTCCACGGGTTGTCGGCAATGGTTAGCTGGACTGGCTTCCCATCGGCTCGCTGGACCTTTTCTGGCTTGTTCAAAAGCATTGCAACAAAAGGTCCGCAAGCTTGTAAGGCGATGAAGATGAGGTAAACCTTGTATGACACCTTGCCAGCTCCACTGCGGTCTGCATTCAGACCAAGATTGATGACTCCGCCGAGGATTTGACCAACTCGAGTCCACGTAAGCCAGTAGGCAATCATACGCCCTCTGTTGTGAGGCTCAGGATATGCAATGGCAATAGCAGCTTCGGATCCCCAGAAAATACCAGCTGAAACGCCGCAAAAGGCAGCGCCAAGGATAACGAGCCACTCGACACCGTAACGGTTGTTCAGGTACAGGCCTGCGCTGTATGGAGCAAACCCAATTGTGCCAATGACTAAGGCACCCTTGATGCCGACATATTTGACAACTGAGCTTGTGAGCCAGCATGAAATGATCATGAGGCAGAAAGTGAGTGCGTTTCCGGTATTAACAAGGTATGGCTCTTGAGCACCACCTATAAGATTGTCAGAAACTCCAGGTTCCCGAGGTGCAGAAGGGCAATCCTCAAACGAGACCTACCAGCACCCAAAGAGTTCATCGCACCCCAAAGACCGGGGGCTGCAAAACTACACATGCCAAGAATCGTAGCATTGTAGAATGGTGTCCGATACCACTTCGCTGCTCGACGTCAGTTTGTGAAATTGATGATGTGTCGTACTATCCTACCGTCGACCCTTTCCGACTGCTCAACGGGCTGCGCCGTATCGGAAACGCTGTCAGCCTTTTCGGCCATCTTGGATGGAGGCCTGTCTTTTTGAGCGGTGACAATCTCCTCGATATGGCAACTTGGGATGCTGACTCGCTGGCAGAGATACGGTCCAAGAGAGAAGAGTTGCCCAAACAAGAAGCTCCGTCGTGAATATTTTCAAAAAGCTTGCCATCATTGCCGAGAAGAATTTATGAGAAACACCACTCCCACGTGGCTGGGTGCTGCGCGAGTTGCAAGCAGAGCACGCAATTGGGACCCTGATTGGAGGCATCGCTGTCATCTCCGCGTTTGTCGCACCAAGAGGGTTCCAGACTTCTGGTAGATGGGGGTGACAGCCGAGGTGATTGCCGGTGACCTCCGCTGTTGACTGAAGATAACATGGTAGCAGCGTACGTATGTAGATAAGAAGCGACGAGGGTTGTGCAGATAGCTTCGATGATCTCAACTTGGCACCCATTGCGTGCTAGCAAACTTGGCTGACTCAGCACAATTCCGGCCTCCGTTGGTAATAGTTCGGAAGAACAGCCGAGGTGCTTCACCTCACGCCGGAGAATCTGCCATTTTGAGTGCGGCCTTGAGAGAATTGGCCCTAGACAAGCAATCGTAGTCCCTTATTACGTATCATGTTCTACGGATCGTGTGGGAAAGTGCAAACAGCATGTTTCTCTCGTCGGAAACCCCGATGTCGTGATAAGACCCTGGCCAGTAACAAGCAATGCAATGCGCTAGAGAAAACCGAGCTCAAGTCTACATGTAGATAATAGCTTCTATTTGGTTACAATGAATGCTATAATTACCCAGTGATATGACATGAAATGGCTTCCTGGTCTTATTAATGGGTGTCGAGCTGGTGCGATCTAGGCTAAGTGTAGAGAGTAGATGGATGCTACATTACGCCAAGGGCCTTATGTCAACAAGCCGGCTGAAGAGAGCTTTGTGTCTGAAGGGGTGTTTAAAAATCGCTTAGTACATGTGAAGTAGACTCTTCAACCTCAAAAAACAATACTCGATATGTAAAGAGATATTCAAGGATGTGTTTGATAGGCCATAGCCCCGATCCCAAGTCAAGGCTACTCTAATCCCAATGCAAAACCTTGGCCATGCGTGGGTGCATCCACTGGCGTACTTGTCTCTTAGTAACATTCTTTTTTGCCAACCGCTCTTCAGTGACCAGGAAGGATTCTGGAAACCATTCAGGAATAGTTGAACTGTGATTGCTAGCACTCGCTCCAGAACCGGTGATCGATATCATCCGACTAAGTGCACGGCCACAGAGCCAAGCAAAGCACATCCCTTCGCCATCAAAAGACGCAGACACCCATTCACTCCCAGCCGAAGTATTCTTCACGAGTCGACCTGTGGCGGACTGAGGGATACGACCTACGAATGGCCTGGAGTCCAGTGAGCTTCCTTCGATACCAACCCAGACGCGCTTCGTACGACCATTCCAGACCCTGGTATCGGAAGATTGCGGAAAATCAGTTCTCTCAGAACCCCAAGTGTCGTACCCGAAGTGATTTGGTAGAGCCCCGTTGAGATATGAGGCTGAAAGGTGAAGGGGAGCCCGGCTGTCGTCGTAAGTGTCGACATTCGCGTCATCTCCGTCAATATCTGCGCCAAACATGAGTTCTCCGTTCCGAGGCATCTGGACAATGTAATCCAAGCCATTTCGAAACAGAGACCAGGCACGTCCTCCAGCTAAACTTCCGTTACCGGTATAAGATGGCCACTCTCCGGCTTTGGGCAAGCCGCTGCCTCCAAGCTGAGCGCTCATATGCAAGCGGCCTCCGCGGATGGCGCCTTGTAAGCCGGGAACAAAGTGTGATGTCCAAGCGTTGGTAGCATAAACGACGTGCTTGGTTCTAATGCTTCCTCTGGAAGTGTGCACCTCAAAGTTTGAAGGACTGGACGACTCGGTGATGGCAGAAATATTCAAGGCAACTGTGTTGGTATCCAAAGTGAAGCCAGGGTATGTGGTCAGAAGTGATTTCAGCGCATTGGTAATGAAGCGGTACGGCCAAATTGCACCAGCCATCTTAGTGGTTCCGGTAAGAATCCCAACGGTCTCAGTGAGAAGCGATATCTAGTTATATTGTGAGCTTGCATACCAAATTTGGAGGACTATGATGACTCACGTTACGGGCTTCTTCACTTTCAAAGATGGACCATTCAGCCCCAACGTCTGGAACTTCATCCTTGAGGGTCTTGACCTGTTCGACAGCTGTCCTCCATCTCTCTTCATCGAAGAAGGCGTCGATGCTATCCACAACACGAGCTTCTGCAGCCAGTCTGCCCTCTTCCGGAAGAGAGTTAGCTGCGGAGATCAAGGCGTCTACATGAGCGGATCGCAACCTGGTGATCTTGGCGGCTTCTGACTGTGATACTACCGTCTTGGCGCCGGCATACTCGGCATAGGAAGACGGTCTGATGTGGCCTCCGTTTCTTCCTGTAGCACCAGAGCAAGCCTGTCGAGCTTCGATCATGGCTACTCTCAGCGGCGTAGAGCTATTGTTCTCCTTGAGGAGATGCCAGGCAATACTAGTCCCCGACATTCCCGAGCCTATAATGACAACATCCGCATCCGTCGGAAGGTGTTCGGACTGATGATCCGCGACTCCCTCCGAAGGGGGGAGTTGCCAGTAGGATATGGTGGGATTGGCAACCGGCAATCCAGGGTCTTGCCCAAGAGCTTTTGAAGCCAAGGGGAGAGCTACGGAGATGATGGGTTTCATGTTGAACATGAAATCTTGACAAAGTCGCTATAAAGTTGGAAAGTGATGTGCCAGTTTTTGAGCGCACTGTATTCAAAAAGGGATGCTGGTCAAAAGAAGAACATTCACACTCTTTCGGTCAAGGCTCATCCCTTTTATATCTCGGCCTCGTAGGCCGAGTCTGGCATATCTCCAAAGTTCAATCGAATAATTACGATGTTCCATCGTTGCATGCAGTGGCCGGCGGTTCGGCTTAGGCATTTCTCGCAACGAACCCACTATACGAAGTTATCTCGCGGTTGAGTGCACGAATGTCCTCCCGTTGATATGAATCCAAGGGGCAATGTGACCATATACTCGCTCATTTGGCCCGATCGAGTAATGTTATAGGCACAATCTCTTGGCTGATCAGACTTTGGACTGCAGTCCATGTACCGCATTAAGTTGCCCGATTGGGCTGCCCCACATCCTATGGAGGTCTACACGCGACCCGCGGGGGAACGTGGCGCATTTACTACAGCTGTATCTGTTGATGCAGCACTTGACGACCATGGTCATCATAGTGCGGCCAGGAATGGCAGCTTATTCACCGGGAGAGATATCAGGAGCTAGATTCGACCCGGACGGTAACCGAGTGACTCGGGTCCGCCTATCGCCGTCATTTCATGGGATCAATCGACCGAGTTACTAACCATGACGGTACGCCCCTGATTTTCTGAGCATTGACAGGAAAGCAATAGAACATTAGGCTTAGAGAACGAATTAACATTAATTGTTTGCAATGACCGGGCTTCTTTTGATATTTGGCACTTTAGTCATGACCCTTACTTTCAGAGTTCCCATTCGAAACCGCAGATTGATGTCAATGTCCACTTAGCTTGAGAGGCAAATGCGTTAAGTTACTGAATCAATTTCAATGCAGATAATCTAAGTTTGGCAGTTTGCGAGGTGTATCTTATGTTTGTGGTATCAAACATATCAGTAAGGAAGCAAAGGAGCAGAAAGTGAGATCAATAAAGTAGGTACGAAGCGCATTCCTTCGACGTCAAGCCAAAAACATTCAGTCTTGCATGAGAAAACGGTACGGCCAGTGCGAAAAGTCCGACCTTGAGTCTGTAATAATGAAATATTATTACTCGTGCAACAAGTTTGTACCTTCATACCGAGGTTTGTTTCCCTTTGGGGGCATGTAGGGGTATTTCAAAGCGGGCGAAGTTTTTCCCCCAGAGAACAGACCTCCTTTCAGAGGTGTAGTACTGTAAGAACACAGTTTGTATCCAAACACTGAACTTGAACAAACTTGTCCAATTTCAGGGTTGTACTCGCGATATCCCTCGTGCTTTGGTGTAACGGCATGTTTTTGAAGTCTGTTGGCTTCAATGTTGTGTGGCCGATAGGCTAAATGGAACATCGCAATGAGATCCATAAAGGATTCGAGGATGTCTTCTCCCAGAGAATCTATTCCGCCACATTCAGTCTTGCAACTCCATTTAATTAGGACGTAAATTCAAGTCAATTTGTCGCAAATCGCCATCATGAAGTCATCCATCATTGAAGCCCTCCTTTCCATCTGCCTATTCGCAATCGGCATTACCGCTCTAGCAACTCGTGCTGCACCTTTGGACCGAAAATGCCCCCTCGAGTCTGATTGCATGGAAAACATTTGTACAAACTTCAGTTTCATAGAAAAGGAAGAAAAAGATCCATTCTACCTCGTTGCTCAGTGCAAGAACAAGGAAGGCAGCTATGTTTACACCAAACTGGATCTCAAAAAGTGCATCGCCAACTGGAACGGCAACCTGGAGTGGACACCGAGGTAAGAATTGCCTTGAAGTCGAATGCTTTCCAACAGAAAGCTGCAGCCGGTCATATCATGATTGATGAAACTTTGGCTGACGATAGTATTTTGTACAGAGGCGGTTTCAGGTGCAGTAAATGCGGCGTCTTTCAGGATTTTGCAGACACATATGTCGGCCTGAGGTGCGAGGAGTGCAAACCACGAATCTTTTGGCTAGAGGGATATAAGTCGCCATCCATAAATCTCTGTGGGTATCTAATTGCATGATTGTCTTAACCATTGCCTTGCTGACTTGCGCTATAGCTCAGGGGATCTGGGTCAGCCAGGACGGCGCTCTCAGCTGCTACGACATGAATGGCGAGTGGTATGTGTAACTCCAGACAATACCGACCAGTCTCTGGATGTATGGAATTCAGTCAAAGCACTTGGGGCAAGAAGCGGCGACACGCCCGGAGGGGGGGGGGGGGAGAGAGAAACTTACATAATGGTCCACGGATGACTGGGACTTTACATTCTCTGTGATCTTTGGGTACGACAGTGACGCAACTTCACACTTGGGTATCGGCATCTCGTGTAGAAAAAGGGACCGACCGATTTTGCGTCATAATTTAATTCCAAGAAGTTATCATGGAGATACTTGAGGTAGTCTGGTTATTCTGTTTCGTTGATAGGTTTATGGCTATGAACAATTTATAAATCATGGACCGAAGCTTATGAAGATGGTGTCATCCTTCATTGAGATGAAACAATTTGCAAGTCTTACACCATGATGAGACATGGCTGAAGCTGAGAAGGGGCATCAAGCCAACTATCCCCTTGATGCTTGTGTTTTCAACTTCTTTCGAGACTCCCCAATCGTGTTCTCGACCCTTTCAATATGCAGTCAATCATTATCTTTATTGTCGTTAATCTACTCAACGGCATGTGTTCTAAGCTCACGATCATTTGTACGCTATATTCAAAGCGCCGCTCGATGCAAAAACACAGATTGAACAACTATCCGGGCCAGCTTCACCGTGAAATGAACTCTTTGGTAACCTTCCAGTTCGCCGCCCCAGCCTCTTCGGGGTCCATAAATATCGTCACCCAGCTACCTCGCCTCTGCTCATTGTCAATCAGAGCATTCTTGATCCTCGCGTGCTCAGGGAGGCCAAAGGGCGGCTCGAGCTGGTAGGCCCCAAAATTACCGATGCTCCCGGAAGATGGCGTTGATCCCGTAGATGCAGAACCGGGCGTCAATTGACTGTCCAGCATCAAATCATGGACAAGAATCCGCGTTCTCTCATACTCTTCATTTTGTTGCGAATTTGTGGCTTTTGGAATCTGCGGGTATTGGAATCGAGGAACGGGGTAGTCACACGCCATCCCGGATTCCATTTCCGCCGGGAAGAGGCCAGTTGGCACACCATCGGATCCCTCCCAAGACGCCGTGTCCCACCCAGCTGTGATATCAAAAGCCTCCTCACGGTAACGAGCTGCCTCCTCTTCAATAGTTATGCAGCGCTTGCCAATTTCAGCCAGCATCTGGGCATCCCACAGGTTCTCCCTACGATTCGTCACGGCGTCTTGCTTGAGTAGATTGACGGCAGCTCGCCGTAGCATCGGATGCCGGCATTTGATGCTAACGTAGTAAAGCGGCGGGATGACCTCGGTGTCGAAAACAAACTTGGGCATCGACTTGGCGGCCTCGGATGGGTCACGAACCGTCTTGCGTGTGGCTTGTACAAACTCCGCCGAGTTGCTGACAATGGACGCAAAGGCCGTGGTATGCGTATCAAAGGCAATCTCCTTCGGGTCCATCGCCGTACTGATTGCAATCCTGGCTGCGTGATAGTAGACCATGCACAACTTTCGTTTGCTCAGGTTGTCATCGGTGCCGGTGGCTGAGACTACGACAAATGCAATGTGCCATCGTGATAACCGTGCGAGGAAGTCGTCTTGTTCATGGGCCAGGTCCAGCAGTGTTGGATCGTCTGGCTGGCATGAGTATACGGCTCTCTTGGCTTGTGCTGTGAACCTCAAGCCGTCATCAATGAGTTCGTACAATGACACTTCGGCCTCGTCTACGGAAGCAAAGTATAGATTCGTTGCCGGACTCGATTGAAGGGTAGCGGGTATGGCGGCGGGGAAGCTCCCAAAGAGAAAAGATGCGAGGCCAAGTCGACTATATATGGGCACGAAATGCTTCTTAATCATATCCACATCGGCAGAGGGCTCAAGTTGTGAGAGAATGGTGCGGCCTTGGTTGATGTGCACCTGGGATGCACCCTCGTCGCCAAGCATGAACTCGATGCATATGAATAGCAAGCATGCTAAGAGCGGGACGGTGGCAGGCGATGATGCTGTTGGCTTCCACTCCTGAAGACACTTCAAGGCCTTGCCGTATTGCTCCGCTGCAAAATTATTGGTGAGCACACGAGGACTGTTTGCGTCTTCAGTATTTGGATCCGAATTCGAAGGTAGCGCGAGTGTTTCATGGAGACTGCTGATGGCAAGGACGGCATGGCGAATGGCGGGCTCGGCATGACAAAAGTGCGGTACCAATTTCTTCCACAGAGTCGAGGCGACTCCGTCGCTAAAGATGGATGGGGCGGAGAAGTTACGGTAGAAGTCAAACGCGCGCTGTTCTCTGGAGCCGCCGGCCCAGTCGGCAAAGGCTGAGACTGCCGGGCTCAAGCGTGAAATGCTGTCATCGGAACCGGGACTGCCATCATTGCTGCTCCCCGGCTTCGACGAGGGTAAATAGCCGTCACATTTCCGGCCTGTCTTGGTGCAGCGAAGACAGGCGGGTTTCGTCTCGTCGCATTTGACTTTCCGGATCCTAGGTGTTTGGACGATGGGTCAGCAAGAAACGTGGAGAGAAGTTAGATGTAGTGAGATGAACGCAGGGCTGGAGATGGGATGGCAGATGTAGTAATGGGATTGATAGGGAGGCTCGGACTCAACTTGCAGGTCACACATCCAGTCCGAACTTTCTTTGTGCCCTTCCGGCCCGAGGGGACCTGCAATGACGCCGGCGGCGTGCTTGCTGGGTCTTTGATTTGCGGGTCGTCTGGCGAGCTCATGATGCCGAGCTCCCGTAGGCCCGTAGGGTCAGAGGTAGGGTTGAACAGAGTGGGTAGCAAGTACTCTATGTTCCTGGGCTCAGGGCTGGCACGGCTCGTCCCAGGTCGTTGGAACGGCGTTGGGACTTTGGTGCTGTTGGTCTATTGCTGGTCTGTAGTGTTCTGTCTCTCTGGATCCGAGGTGTCAAGTCCGAGTCCAGCAATCACGGCCAAGGTGCCTTTTAGTGTATTGTGGTGAAACCTGTGACCTTTGTATGTCGTACTGCACGAAGCGGTCTTTGGAATCAATCGACGACGGTGACCCCTTGCAACAAGCTAGGCCTACAGCGAGCACTGATGAGCAAAACCCGTATCCGTAGAGAATCCACTCTCTGGCGATTCGAGGTAATGGAAGCGAGATTCCCGCCTAAGCCGAGGTGTAACAGGGTAACAAGTGAGGTAGATACGGATCGGAGACGGTACTGTGTTGAGCCGAGCTTCTCAATTTGTAGAGACAACCCCGTTGGATTCCCAGCAGTTGTCGAACGAGAGCTCAGAGAATGTCTCTGCCTGGAGTTATGGTGACGGTCGTGACATGGGGATAGCGGATACAAATCGAGGGTTGACAAGGTGAGGTGGTCTTGGTAGGTCTGGCACTGGTTAAGGTAACGTAGTCTGTATCCGTAGGGGGATCCAAGGATAGTTTGGCTAGTGGTCTTTCAGATGTCAGCCCTGTCACTGCCCCAGCTGCGTGGCCGACGTCCCATCGTGGTGAGATGCGCTTGAGGTGAGGTTGTGTGGCTGTCTGGCTGCACTGCATTTGGGCGACTCGAGTTGTGGAACAAATGGAAGGAAGCGGCTCAGCCCAGAATTCCAGACTGCAGACTGCACCTTCCAGGTTGTGAATGCGCCGTACCTGTGCAGGGGAAGAAGCACCGCAGCAGGCCACAGGGCGCACCTTCTGGTTGGGAGAGCCAAGGCTCACGGGCCCCAACGGCGCATTACCCACTTTAGCGGGGCTAAGTCACGGTTTGACGCGTCTCTGATTCGTCCCAGATCTCGGACTATCGTCCCGAGCGGACCAATCGCTGAGCTGTAGTGGGGCTTCGAGCCGGCCCCCGCAGGGTCCCACTCGGTTCAGCGGTTCAGCGGTGCGGATACGGGGGCGCCCGTATCCCGTTGCCTGCGACCCTGTTTCTTTCTCATCCTGTACCCATCCTCCTGCCATCAACGCCAATTGAGGCATCCATGATTCCAGATGATTTCACGAAAAGAGCTCCAGACCCTGTCATTGCATCATATCATCACCGGCAAATACCGGCCAAGCTGCGGTCTGACTGGCTCAGTGGCTTTGTTCCTTGCTGCCTTGACGCCGCACCCATTCTTCAGCCCAGACGGTACACTACTGTACCTAGACCCAGATAAACGGGTCTCTCTTCCCAGTCCATTCCTGGTCTTTGCATTGCCCTACGGGCCTACGGCTTTGTTGCCGCGTCCCAATTCCCCCGTCATCCCAGCTTTCCCTCTTCCTCTCACTTGCTCCAGGGGTCATCGATTGGAAGGCCATAGGTGGGTGGCTGAGCACAGGCAACACAGGATAATATCCGTAGAATTAACCTTAATTTGACCAAAACCATGCCATATAAGCTGCCGCCTCCTCCTCGCTAGTATAGCGTCTGTCTTGCTCATCCTGCGAGACGCTATGGCTTTTGATCGTCCGTCAGACGAGCTGTGATTGGTGATGCCGGACTTTGAAAGGCTCTGTCCCGAGCTTTTGATAACTCAACGTTGCTCGCTGGAGCTTCATGTCACGCGTTGTCGTGGCTTAGTTTCCATCATAGTCTAAGACCCAGGAATAGGTTCTGCCTAGATACTCGCAGGGCGTCGCATGGCGAAATACTCGTACAGACGCATTAGGAATCTTGGTCTTGTAGAAACGATATAATTGTGTCTGGCTGTGCGCCTTCGAGAAGGGCTTCCTCTCAACAAATCTGCTCAAGTGCACGAATCTTACTAGTGTATCGTTTCCCGCTCATCATCCGTGATTGGGCCTCTCTCAAGATGGTTTTCAAATACTCACTCCTTGCCCTCACGGCAGCCTCTCTAATCACTGCCTCCCAAGCCAATTCCTGCCCGCCATTAGGACCGACGTTACCCTCCACCAAAACACCAAGCAACTCGACGATAGTACAAGAAACCATCCTCAAGATCCAAGAAGGCCTCGCCAACTTCACCTCCGTCCTGAACTACACTGCAATTTCTATTGGCGTCAAGTCCATACACGAAGATGGGCCCCTATTCGACTGGCACTACACGCCTCCCATCGCAGATAATCGCAGCGTAGCAAAGGTCGATATCGACACCGTATACCGTGGAGGAAGTATCACCAAGGTCTTCACGACCCTCACGGCTCTAAAGAACTCACATATCAAAGGGTCCGATCCCGTCACCAAGTACCTACCGCAACTCAAGACCGACGCCTTGAAGAATGAAGGCCAGCTTAGCTTCATCCCGTGGGACAATATCACTATTGAAGACTTGGCTTCCCATGTTTCTGGACTAGGCGGTGATAGTAGGTTTACACCTCGTACATCTTTCTCAACTCTACTGACAAGGCCAAAGTCGCTACCGATCTCGCTGTCTTCCCCGGTGCCTGGGCATCAATGGGTCTCCCCCCAGTTTCCAACGACGCTAGACCAACTTGCTCCGGTCTCCTCGGCACCAAGCCCTGCTCAGGAAAAGGCAAGCCATCTTCCACTTCTGTACAGTTCCACGGCAGACCTCTAACAACATACAGACCTCCTCCACGGCCTCAACGAGAAACCCCTCGTCTTCCGCCCACACACCACCCCCGTATACTCCAATATCGGCATCGCCCTCCTCGCCCTCGCAGTCGAAGCAGCATCCAACCAAACCTACGAAACCATCCTCACCGACACTATCCTTAAGCCTCTCAGCTTGACCAAGACCTCCATCGCCACGCCAGCAAAGGGCTCAGGCTTCATTCCCCTCCAGGAACCAACCTGGGGCGGCGATCTCGGCGCCTACGCCGCAGCAGGTGGCATCTACACAAACACCCGTGACATGCTCACCTTCGGCACCGCAATCCTCTCTGACAAGGTCGGCATCGATACAGGTTCCTGGTTGAAGCCACGTGCCTTCACCTCCTCGCGCGGCTACTCCATCGGTGCACCCTGGGAGATCTGGACCACTTCCACTCTTCTCGACTCAAGCGTCCCCGTCAGCATCTACACAAAGTCAGGCGACCTCGGCCTATACACCAACGTCCTGCTACTCATCCCGGACTACGACCTTGTCATCTCCATTCTCACCGCCGGTGCCGAGGCCGCAGGCACCTTCCAGTTCCCCTCCCAAGTCATCTCCCCCGTCATCCAAGCCCTCGTCCCAGCCCTAGAGAAGGCGAACAAGGAGCACGCGGCCGCGAACTTTGCAGGAGAGTACATCGACAAGGAAACAAACTCGACGCTAACACTATCCATCGACGACGGCCCAGGCTTATCTCTGACGAACTACACCGTCCGCGGCTTCGACGTGCTCTCTCACATCCCCAGCTACGGCGTCGGCTCCAAGATCCAGGCTTTCAATGTCAGCGGCAGGGTGTACCCCACCAACATCAGAGAGGGTGAACAGTGGTCCTGGCGCGCCGTGTACAAGAACCACGACGAGCCGGATGTCGGTGACAAACTCGTCTACCCCGACGGCGATTGTCAGACATGGGGCTTGATTGATCGCAAGACCTACAACTACCTTGCTTTGGACGACTTCACCATCACCACTGCCGAGGATGGGTCGGCCAAGAGTATTTCGCCGCGACCGTTCGGCGTCACCCTGAAAAAGGTGTAGGCCAACATGAGGTCACAAATTGGTTAAGGGGCTGTCCCAAAGACAACAATGCATTGCCGTGACCAGCGTTTGCCTGATTTCGCATGGAAATGCATACCTTAGACACCACTTAGATGCAACTCTTTACTTTGAATACCCATTGATTGATTTTCTGTCTACCACGACGCCATGCCATGATACCTTGAGAAACAAAAGAGGCCGTCTGCAAAGTCCAGAATGTACTGCTAAAGCCCTTGACCCTTGACCTGGTATACACTTACAAGACCAACGAAAACGGAGACGCCTGGCAACATGCCAGGAAAAGTTAAACACACTTTGAAGAGAAATACCGCCAACGCCGCCGCGGCCGCTCACACAAGCGAAACCCCTCCCACGAACCCAACGAGTTCGTATCCTCATTAAAGCCCTTTGAGAATCGTGGGAGCTCAATCGCTCACCCAAACCTAAAACAACATCGAAATTACCAGAAGCTGCACCATCCTATGTAGTGTTGACAGAGGTTCTCCAACTTTGTCGCCTCCGTGATGAGCTTGTTGACCTGGTTGATGACATCAAGCTCCTCGTTCGGCTTGAAATCCTTGCCAGTCAACTTCTGAGAGACGCGATCCAGCACCTCGACAGCCCGAGCATTCTGGATTTCGGTGGGGTCCGGTCCGTTGTTGCCATTAACGACACTGCCCTCGTGTGCCATTGATGAGTTTGTTCTCGACCGGGAGCGCGCGACGGGTCCGCCGGGCATACCGGGATCTCCAGTGGCAAGCAACTCCGACGGCGCCACGTCTGCGTCGAGAACAGAGGGACGGCGTGCCCTAGCAGCCTGCGGGCCAGCAAGTGAAGTCTCGCGTTCAGATCGGAAGTTCGGTCCTGCCGGACTGGCAGCATTAGTAAGGCGCCAGGTCAGGAGAGGATCGTGAATGAACTGTGAGGCAGTTAGCTTGGAGGCTTCAAGACATGGACTAGGAGAAGAAACATACCGCTTCCAAGACGGCCATCACGCTGTCCTTGTTGTCTCGCAAGACTCTCATGACATGCTCGCAGGTGATACGGAAGCTTCCCTCGATGTTGCTGACTTCCATGGCGTAGGTGAGCATGCGGGTCAGTCGGAACGGCACACGCTCTGGGTACTTCTCGCGTTTCATAGCCACTTCGAAGCAGTCGCCAAAGTCGATGTGGATAATCTTGCCCGTCACGCGGTCAAGCATGAGATTAGACGGATGACGGTCACCAAGACCGAGAATGTATCCAACCATCGACATGACGCCCAAAGAGCGTGTGTAATTGGTGCGGCGCTCCAGCCATGCCTCTGAACTCTTACTCTTGAGCCACAATACCCGATAGAGATCCTGGCCAGTCGTGTTGTCCAATGCATAGCCGAAAACTTCAACCTTCTGCATGAGAGTGAGGTTGTCGTAGTCGGGAGCCATCTGGAGCATGATACGATGCTCGATATTAAGGAGAATCTTCCTGCTTTCACGGTATTCCCTTATTAGCACGTGAAGAGTGTCACTGTTGGGCACCCAACCCAGCAGACCCGAGTTTTGTGACAACGGGATGGCCGGGTATCGTTGGATGTTCAAGTGACGCTTGTAACATTCAGAATCGTTCGCCAACAAGGTATTGCACAAACCGAACAACTGCATAACTCGTTCGTCTTGGCGAATATCCTCGTGGCCCTTGAGCAAAAAGGCGTATGAAACACCATCGCTACCGCTAATGTTGAGTTTGCGAGGCCTCTGCTTACTATTAATAACAGTAAAGGTGCCCTCAAACTCCATGATGCGGACAATTGGTTGACCACTGCGGTAAGTTCCAGGCACAGCGAGATCAAGATCCTTGGCGGCCAGTAGCTTAGGCGAGCAGTATGGTAGCTCAAGCGTTGTGAGCTGGGGCAGCTGTCGTGAAATGCGCCGGAAGACTTGGTAGTAGAGATCCCAAGCCTGATTGAGATCATTGACGTCTCTGCTGGCTTCGTACTGGCGGCACCATTCGCGAGCCTCGGTGAGATCTCTGCCAAAGGCTTGCGTAAAGGAGATCTCGCGAAGAGTCTCTGGACCGCGCTCGAGTTGATCATGCAAAGGCTCGAGGGTGGCAAACATGCCTTCGATGTTATGATCACCAAAGTACAGTCGCGATGCTTCCTCGAGACCCTCGTGCCATTGTTCATGCCAAAGAACCGCGACCCTGATAAGCTCGTGGCTGACAATGTCGGCTTGGGAAACGAGGTTGGCGCTGTGTTGACGCATACTATCCATAATTTGAGCAGCAGACCTCGAACGGCGGGTGTTTTGCGAAGATTTCATCGCTACCGTCAGCGGGTAGACCAGCGCCTGCGGATGAGCCCTACCAACATCTGCGAGGAGGCTATGAATCGATTGCTGAACGCGGCGGGTCGGCTGGTTGATTCGAGCGATGAGCTGGGGAATGACTTCCAGCCAGGTGTCGACGCTGACATTGGTGAATCCTTCAGTGACGGCAGCATTAACGTCGGCACTGGCACCATGCGTGAACCACAGTGTCAGAAGGCGGAGTGTGTCCTGCAGAGAGCTTCCCGCAGACAGCGCGATCGACTTGAAGAAGCCTCTGACAGCCGGAACCACATGCTCAACTACCATGTGATCAGTTCTCTCGCCACGAGTAGACAAGGCCTGGACAATCTCAAAGTTGGCCAGAGCCCAAGCGTGCCAAGCCTTGTACCAGCGCGGGTTGTACTTAGTAGCCTGCGAGTACGAAGTCAAGATATCCTGGACGTGCTCGTATTGCCAATTCTCCTTGTTCAGGTCGATGAGCCATTCACCCTGGCGCAGGTAGCACTTGGCCAACAGGACGGTCTGGTCGTAGAGCGCCTTTTGAGTCTGAGGGTTCATCAGACTGGGGTCGATCTGGTGCGGGAATCCGTAGTCACTCGACAGGTCCATTCCGTTGGGAGCCTGTGCCGTAAGATGCGCCTTGGTCGCCTCGTAGCGGTGCGCCGAGTCGTTTGTAAACTTCCGCAGGCAGTACAGAGTACGCTCAGCAATACCAGAGGTACGGAACGCGGGCTGCTGGCCGACTTCCCACTCGTACTTGAGCATGGCGTAGATAACCTGCGATGGAATGTTTCGCGGGATAGCGGCATTCGGCTGCTGTCTCTCGTTCCAGTAAGGAATCAAGGTCTCCAGCGGAGCCTCGACACCAATGATGGACTTGAGAGACTTCTCGGCCAGGCCCATGCGACCAGACTTGCGGCAAAGGTTGGCAAACTTGATCCACATGTGCATGTTCTCCGTGGGCGTAATGACGAGGTTGCGAAGACGAAGCATTCTCTGCCAAACCTCCACGTTGCGCTGGCATCCCTTGAGTCTCGTCTCCCAGGTGCGCCTCATTGTCGCCTTCTTTTTGTCGTCCGTCTGCTTGTAGACGATGAGCTCTTCCAGCTCGGCCAGCATTTGGACTCTGACCACGACCTGATACGCGCGATTGTACGACTCACTAACCAACGCACTGAGCTCGGTATCAAGTCCCTCTCGAGCTTGCTGGACGCAATTGACAGCTTCCCTAAACTGATTGCGGTGCAGAGCGAGAATAGCGCCAAAGAAGGAACGATCAGTAGAGTAACGCTTCATGGATTGCAAGTAGTTGTCCATAGAATCCCACTTGCTGAGGCCCCATGCGGCGGCTGTTGCGAGCGGCGCAATGAGGCGCTGTACGTCGGGCGACGAGTTGGCCCAGGTTGTGCCTGCAATACCAGCAAGAGCTTCCCACTCGCCGAGAGCGTGTAAACAACGCATTTTACCCATAATAATCTCGACAGGAACGGGCTTGTCTTCCGGAACTTCCGACTCGCGCTTCGAGTAGAAAGCAAGAGCTTCCTCCCATCTCTCCAGCTTTTCGAACCACGTCTCTCTAAGTTGAATTCCCTCTTTGTAAAGTTGTGCTTTACGGAGAATACCGATGGCTGCGTCAGACTGCTGGAGTTGGTTGTTGATCACAATAAGAGCTTCAACCGCACCGCTGCTCTGGTCCTGCAAGAACTCCAACTCCTTGTAGTGGAGTGCCTTGGCGTAGGCGTGGCATCGAGCAGCCTCCCGACCGAGAACTCTGATATCGATGGGCAGGGCCTTGTCGTCGTGTTCCATAAACTCGGCGAGGTTGAGCAGGAGGCCGAGTAGATCAGGGGGTACGTTCTCCGACTTGATGGCGCTCTCGATATTTTGGATCAGCTCGTCTTGGAACTGTTCATAAAGCTCGCTCCAGCAGGACACGAAGGCGGAGTTGAACAGCTCGCGAGCTAGCGGAAGGTATGAGCTAGCGAGGGCGGCACACGCACGAAGAGCGTGGTTGGGCGATTCGGTGAGCAAGGTCGTGGAGAATCTACGAAGCCATTCCTGCCAATCCTCCTTGGTTGACTTGCCCTTCGTATCCCACGCCTGCTTGAGATGAATGGCATTCATCTCCAACTTCTTTGCACCCAGATCCGCAAAGGCTGCCTGGTCATCGACCCAGTCGACAAAACGGTCACCGCCGCCGAGATCCTGCGGGAGCACCTCGCCCTTTTGGAGCTTGTTGACAAGCAAGTCATAGTTCTGGTGCTGGATTTGGTGCAGCGCGAGAACCTTGTTGACCGTGCCCATAAAGTGAAGATAGTCTTTGCCGAGTTGCTGGATCAAGGCGCATAGCGTATCTAGAGCTGCGATCCGCAAGGCAATATCCCCACTGCCGAGAATTCGGGTGAGGGGATGAATAATCTTCGCAGCGTAGTCGTTCAAGTTGACCTGATACGTAATCTTGCCGATTGTCTCGATCGCCTGCTTTCTCAACGGAGGGGGCTGCCCTTGCTTCTCAAACGTCCTGACAATAACAGGAATGATCAAGTGCATATACTCCTCGGCACTAGATCCGAAGACAAGAAAGGCGTGGAGAACCTTTTCAGAGGGCGTGCGCCGGGTAGTGGTATCCTTTTCCAGCACGCCAAGCATGAGAGGCAGCAAGCCCGCAAGGTAAATCTTGAACTCGCCCTCCAA